CCCCAAAACCCCAAAACCCCAAAACCCCAAAACCCCAAAACCCCGTGCTGGTCAGAGCTTATTGAAATTTTCATCACACGGCATTAATAATTAGTCTATCTCTTCTATTTTATTGTAGGTGATCGGGAGGAGTCTTGGACTTTCTTCTATCATTTCATAATCTTTACCACTCCTATATAAATTTATGAACTGGCCTTGCCCTCCAGAGTGCACAGCAATTGAAAACTCTTACCAGAAGCTGTGCGAGAGTAGCTCATCGAGATGTTTAACCTCATAAGAACCATCGTAAATATCTAGTTCATAATCCATAGAGAACTGATTGATTTCTTCATCATCGCTTAGGGATAGGTCGTCACCTAGTCTCTTACCCCTCCAGAAGCTTACTTGGAATTACCTCAGTAGCGGTTATCATTTTGCCATAGTCTATATGATTCAGGGACTCTATTTACCAGGATTAATAATCTTTTTGGCAAGGTTGTCATTCGTCTCAAGACAGTTAAACTGAGACCTAAAAACTTGGTTGACACATTTACTTTTGACAGTTAATTTTGATAAAGTCATCACTAGGCATGAACTGATCAATTCTGTGACTTCCTTTATAAATCTTTGAGACTACCTTGTTAAGCAAGTTCCTTCCAGGAATTGTTGTGATGAACTGGATCATATTAACCATAGTTGGTCTTGAATCTAGAGTGGAAAGATTTAGTAATAATCAGGTTCTATTACTCTAAGTAAATTTGATTTAAGTGCTTTTGACACGTATAAAAATTTGCTTATTGGGTAAATAGCCTATAGCTTACCTTGAAATCCGTAATGTTTAGCCATGAACTTTCTTAAATACTTATGAAGCTTGCCATAAATATGAGGACAATACTCTTGGCACCTTAGCATTAATGCATAGATTTTATCTTCTAACTGAATTTGAGAAGGAAGTGCTACAGTAGTACAGCTGGCTGTTTCGTTCTGTAACGAGCCCAGCACATCAACCTATTGGTTATATCTCTAGGCTACTTACTTTGTCTTTATAGAAGGTCTTCTGTAAATGGGAGTAGCCCTTAGACATCTTCCTGACCTCTTCTTGCTCACTAGTATCAAGAGGTAGCATAATTCGAGTCCTAGTGTACTGTTTTTCTTCAAATTTTGTCTCTCTCTTATTTGCGCTTGTTCAGAGGTAAGAGGTGTTCCTGAGTTGGTATAGCACGGTTGCATATCACTTCTTCAGACCTAAATTTAATGGTAAAACTTGATTTTACTTGTTTTACAAGGTTGTAAAATAGAGGATTAGTGATAAAATATTTTAATCTGAGTCTTTAGAGTAATAACTTAGCTAGAAGTATAATTTTAAATCAGCTAGAACTTGATGTAACAGTTCGTTAATTGATATATTCTTAAAGCTAATAGCATTACTGTATTAAGACTATCTTCTAGTATGGATATGCTCTTGACTGGTAAAATAAAAGGTGATCATTTTTAAATTATTTAAGATTAATTTAGAGAAGACTTTAGACCATGATTTTTTAATGCATATTAAGCTGCTTCTTCCATAAATTATCCCCTAAGGTAACATAGTTTATTTAACCTATGAGTTTTTATCTCAAACCTTTAGCCTGATTTAAGATTCTTCAAAGCTTGGCAGGCCAAAAGACTAAGTCTCACCCAGTATATTTATCTCTATCAAATTCCTCGATGTAAGTTATATAAAATCAGAGTAATAAGACTTTAGTGGTCTTACTCGTCACTTAGAGAGAGGGCCTGGAATTGGTCGATAAACTTCCTTCTCTTAATAGCTCTCCGATACTTATCGTTCTGACACTTGTCTGCAATTTCACTTAAAAGTCCCCCATCTTGAGGGTTAAGCAAGCTGATTTGATTGGGCTCCATTTCAACTAAATTTTATAATCAATTAGTGAAACATTAATAGGGGTTTTGGGGTTTTGGGGTTTTGGGGTTTTGGGGTTTTGGGG